CCATCAACAAAACAACAAGAAATTCCACTGCATGGGAGAACATATTTGCCAATGTTATCTTCGATAAGGGTTTAACCTACAAAATTTATAGGGAACTCATACAACTTAAAAAAATGGAAGGTAAACAATCCAATTAAAAAAAAGTGGGCAAAGGGCCTAAATAGACACTTTTTGAAAGAGGACATATAGAAGGCCGAGAGACATATAAAAACATGCTTGAAGTCACTAATCATCCATGAGATGCAAATCAAAACAATGAGGTATCATCTTACACCTGTCAGAATGGCTATCATCAACAAATCAACAGAAGATAAATGTTGGAGAGGATGCAGAGAAAAAGAAACCCTTGTGATTGCTGGTGGGAATGCAGACTGGTGCAGCCACTGTGGAAAACAGTATAGCATTTCCTAAAAAAAAAAAAAAAAAAAAAAAAAAAGGGAACTTCCATTTGACTCAGTAATACAGCTTCTAGGAATATATCCCAAGAAAACAGAAACACCAGTCAGAAAGGATATATGCACTCCTATGTTCATAGCAGCACACTACAATAGCTAAGATCTGGAACCAGACTAAATGCCCATCAGCAGATGAGTAGATTAGAAAATTAAAAAATGGAATTCTATGCTGCCGTAAAAAAGAAGGAATTCTTACAATTTGCAACAACATGGACGGAACTGGAGAGCATTATGCTAACTGAAATAAACCAGTCAGTGAAAGAAAAATACCACATGCTCTCACTCATTTATGGAATATAAAGAACATTATAAACTGAAGAACAAAAAGATAGATACAGTGGTAAGAAGCATGGAACAGACTGTCAAACTACAGCGGAGAGGGTTGAGGGAGGTGGTGGTTAGAGATCAACCAAACGACTTGTATGCATGCATATAAGCATAATGGACATGGAGACCAGGGGGGTGAGGTCATGTGCTGGGGAGTAGGGGAGTCTGGGGTGTAGGAGGCCGGGGGGAGGTCAATGGGGAAAAAAAAGGAGACTTATGTACTACTATTTGTAATATTTTAAACAATAAAAAAAAATTTTTTTAAAGGGGGGAGGGGGATTCTAGGTCAGGAGCCAAGGAATATGGGTAGCTCCCAGAGGCTGGAAAATGCCTTGATTTTAGCTCTGTGAGAATCATGTTAACTTTCTAATCCACAAAACTGTAAGAATATGTCTTATTTTAAGCTGTGCAGTTTGTGATAATTAGAGCAACTGTAGAAAATTAACACATATGGTGAGGATGAGAAACTGTCACAATGGTCGAATCACTTGGCATTTCTGGTTAACACAAGAACTGAATGCAGACCACTCCCTCTGCCCCTCTCCCAATTGACAGGCCATTGCAGTGTTGCATTTAATTCTTTATTTCTAACCCAGAGGCATATCCATTGTTTTTCAGTCATTATTCATTTAGATGTATCCATGTAATGACCACTTCCATTATTATATGTTCCTTTCTGCGATATATATATATTTTTTTAACACAACTTAATAGTATTTTCTTGTATATTCAGTGTTAAGAACTATTGGCCTAGACTTCAGTCTCTCATGAATCACTTGCTCTCTGTAGTTTCTCCTCCAATGCATTTTTCCCACAAGCTCTGGAGCAATAGCTGACCATGTGAGGTCTAACTTTCCATGTCTCCTACTGTCTGCTGGATTGGTCTTATAAAGTCTTTCCTAATTTGTTCCCTACCTAACTCTAAAAACCTCACTTTCCTCCTACCCTACATTTCCCCTATACTCTCTATTCATATCTGGCTACCTTCCAGAGTACACAGATTTTATAAAAAACATGTTATTCCTTCTGCCTGGATTAACTTTCTCCATTCCTACATTTGAAAAACTACTTCCAATGTTTGAGGACCCAGTCACTTCCCAGATGCTTTCTGTGCTGAGGTAGAGGCAGGAGCCCTCAGGGAGTGCTCAATGACAGACCTGCTCTGCCTTGTTACTACTGTTACTCCACAAGTGCATGGAGAGCCTCCCAGCCCAAGAGGAACACAGGGACTAAATTGAGTTCTCTTCAAAATGGAGATAATAATAATGCCTGTATCACCTCCTCTTTTGTGTTATTTTGAAGCTGAAATCATAGTCTATGAGCTTTAAAAATCCAGGGCAGTTGTGTACAAAGATTAGGGGTTGGCAGTGAGAGGCAACTCTGTTTCACACGTCTTATGGGAAAATATAAATAAAATATGTCTAGCTTTATTTTGTTTCTGGGAAATTCATCAATTTAAGCATCAGTAGATAATAACTCACTTTATAAGAAGATTTTGAATACGATGCAATTGTTTATAACTTTTTTCCTTTGTAGTGTAACTCATATATATATATATTAGAAACCCAGCACAAGAAATGGCTCACAGCCTGCCCACCTGCACTGGTCTTTTGTTTGTTAGGGCATTAGGACCACTGGGTTTTTAGAACATATACTATAGACACATACACAACCTATATAATAAGAGTAATATGCTAATTGACCGTCACACCAAGACACAAGAGGGCTGCCCCCATGTGGACACAAGATGGCCTGTAGGGGAGGGCAGTTGTGGGAAGTTCGGGGTGACCAGGCCAGCAGAGGAGGAGGCAGTTGGGAGGAACCAGGCCTGCAGGGGAAGGCAGTTGTGAGCAATCTGGCCATCAGGGAGGGTAGTTAAGGGTGACCAAGCCAGCAGAGGAGGGCAGCTGGGAGAGACCATATGAGCAGGGAAGGGCAGTTGGAGGGGACCAGGACTGCAGGGGAGAGCAGTTGGGGGGGACCAGGCCTGAAACGGAGGGCAGTTGGGGGAGGCAGGCCTGCAGTGAAGGAAAATAGGGGGGGGGGGGGGGAATTCAGGCCAGCAGAGAAGGGCAGTTGGAGGGGACCAGGACTGCAGGGGAGAGCAGTTGGGGGAGGGGGGGAGGGGACCAGGCCTGCTGGGGAGAGCAGTTGGGAGCCAGCAGTCCTGGATTGTTAGAGGGATGTCCAACTGCCCATTTAGGCTTGATCCAGTGGGTTCGGGCCTAAATGGGCGGTTGGAAATACCTTAAGGGATTCCAGATTGGAAAGGGTGCAGGTTGGGCTGAGGGACAAACTCCCCCCTCCCATTCAGGAATTTCATGCACCAGGCCTCTAGTGTATATATATTTATGGATTTCAGAGAGGGAGAGGGGGAGGGAGACAGAAATATTAATGATGAGAGAGAATCACTGATCAGCTGCCTCCTGCACACCCCTATTGAGGACCAAGCCCTTAACTGGAGCATGTGCCCTTGATCTCTGGGACCCTTCAGTCTGCAGGCTGATGCTCTATTTCCTGAGTCAAACCAGCAAGGGCTGTAGTGTAACTCTTTTAAAATAAAATTATATACAGAATCCCGAATGGACAACTACATTAACATTTGTGTGGTGGCTGAGCACGCAGTCTTCTTGACAGCGAGGTTTGAGTGAGGCCCCTACTAAGTGAGAGTCTTAGGCAGCTTTCTACAACTTTTTAACTGGAAACTCAAATGACTTTGAACATGCCAACCTACAATCTGGCATTTAAAAGGAACTTTATTAGAGTTTAGGACAGCTGTTTCATACAGTTGGATATGATACGGCTACAAATAACCAGCACACACACTGCGTCCCTGAGCTTTGGGAATACATGTTCCTTTGCTCACACTGGGTGCTGTGGCATTGGCTGGGCTCTGTGTGACAGGTCACCTGCCTGCAGGGATGTCCCGCCTAGCCTGCTTTTACCTTCCAGAACTTGAATATTACTTACCCTGAGAAGAAGTTCAGAGCTTTTTCTATGATTCTTATACCTTACTTTACTACAGTTGAAAAAGGCTGAGACATTTGTGAATTTCAAATATAAAAATGGAAAGTAAATTATTTGACCAGATAAATTGTGGTAAAAAAAAAAAAATGAAAGGTTTTATTTGCAACTTATACAACTTCATAAAAAAAAGCACTGTTCAGAATCCAACATAGACTAACTTAAAGATTTTGTTATGTTTCTTAAGATGACAGTTTGTAAACAGAAAAATTAATATAATTTAAACACATTTTAGTAAATATGCAGATCTATTTTATTTGTCAAGAGTAAATGTCAGTTTTATTTAGAATATTTAGGTACAAAAAATTATATACCTATGACTGTTAATAAAAAGTTAATTGTTCTGAGACTACTACAAGGCACTGATATGAATTATCTAAATGTTTTTATCTTTAATATTCAGATGCTCATAGTTATTTTCTTAGAAATATTTTTAGTAAGGTAATTCAATCTTATTTTTCTCTTGGAAGACAGTTTTAAGCAACAAATATGTAATACATCCTAATAAAAATACTGTGATAACACCCAGATTCAAAAGTACTTATCACTAGTAAAAGGGTTTATATATGTGGGTGTTTTTACTTTTAAACTTTTTTTTTTCTTTCATATTATACATTAGCCACAGAAGATGTACTGAAGCATATAAGACCATCGTGTTATATAAAATTTTATACAAAAGCTTAGGATCATGTTACTAACTGGATAATTATATCAAAAATTAAAAAGTTCTATAAAACTATTGAGAAGTTAGTGTTTTAGGTACATAAGGCATTTTAAAACATATTCTCAAAATTTTACCTTTAGTGTGCACAAAACAAAAGGTTCATCTTAGAACGTAAATGCAATCAGACCACCTGATGTGGGCGAGCTCTGTTGTCAAAGGCGGTGGCACGCTCTGTGGTGGCGCTCTGCAGTGATAGTAAGTCGGCAGTAGAGGCAACGATCTCGATCCATCACAAACAAGCAGCTGAAAACTTCTAACAGCAGTGGACACATAAGTTCTACCACCCACTCTGGTTTATGTATTGGCCATATACTTGAAAGTATTTTTCCATAAAAGACAGCAAATGTGGCCATTTGCCAGATACAAAATAACTGATACAGCCAATAAAACGAGCAAGAAAATCACATCATATTTCTAACTTTTTAATAACTTTTGCTTGTGATGGCCTTTTGTGATCTGGAACCTTTGTTTTACATAAAATTGGAGCTGGAAAGAGAGAGAGAAAATCTTTTGATTGGTACAATATAAAATCAACTAAGAAATAAAAGTTATTAGAATCATTAGTTTTACAGCTTTTTCAGAAAGAGCAAATATATATGTAATGTCTACAGGATATCTAGTTATGGAACTTTGGAAAGAAAGAAGAAAAAAAAACCCCACCAAACTCTATTTTCTTGAGGACAAATTCTGAAACTATGGGCTTGGACCTGATTTTGTCATCAACAGCTCATACCAAAGATTCTCAAGTGGAGCAGGGTGATAATTTCCATGAGGTAAGTATAAACTGTCTTTCATATATGAAATATGGGGGAATCCAATTTTAGTAACACTGGATGATGATAAAAAGATAAAGTAAAAGGTCTCATAGCTTTGTATTAATAATAAAAAACAATAAATTATATATATAATTATTATAATTCAATGCTTGAATAAACATAGCTATTATTCATTACATTATACTTTCTATGGACCAGGCACTGTGCTGGGCTCTGGGGATGGATACAGCCATGAACAAAATAGATCCATGCCCTCATGGAGCATATGTTAAAAGTTCATACATGAGAATTCTTCTTTCTTCTCCCACAAAGCTATAAAATCCATGGGTCAATTAAATACACCAAAATCTTGTGGATATACTTCTTCACGGTTCAAAAATAGAAAGCTATTAATACCATGGATTAGCATCATTTTCCTAACTATTCTCAAATGGAGTTACAGTGATCTGAAAATGCTCAGTTTGAAATCAGACCTGGTTTTGAAATCAACAATGGAAGATTTGCTCTGTGAGGACATAAAGAGGACAGATGCTGCAAGGGCAGAGATAGCTGGAGAAACTAAGGCAAAGACCACAATGGAGAATTTGCAACAGGACAAACAGGCAAACTGACAAGGACATATTAAGTGGGAGAAATAAAACGAAGCATACAAAGTATAAAAGAGGAATAAAACCTTATTTTCTAAAACTTTGGTAATTTCGATTGTGACACATACCCCAACCTATAAGCCTTGAGAATATCATCCAAATGCTACTCATTCCGCCCCATTGTACTGGGACACTCTCTACCTTCCTCTGCATCATTGCGTCCACCTTTGGTTTCATAAGCTCTGACATCAAAGCACAGGAGATCACATCGATAGCCTGGTTCCCTTATTAAAATAAAAATTCTCACAAAATCATTATCAGTAGAATTAAAATAAAGTGAACCTAAGAATTAGTATTTTTTAATCAAATATTATTTTACACCTATGATTGCACAAGAAAGCACGCAGCTTCCAATTAGATAAGAAATTCAATGTAACTAATGATAGGTCAGCAGTGTATTAGAGCCACAGGCTTGGCTATAAAATAAGAACAGCTGACTTTCCCCCCCAGGTAATTGATGTATTTTACATTGTGATGTGTTTTTATTTCATTCATTCATTTTGCCAAATATTTAATGAGCACCTAATAACCTAATACGTGCGAGGTGCTACAGTAGATGCTAGGGAAGCAGGAGTGAACAAGAAGCTGACCACAGGATGCAGACAAGGAAAAGGAAACAGACAGGAGCACAATAAAGATCAAAGAGGGCAATGAGTGGGAGAGGGAAGGGGCAAGGCTACCCAAGGTGGGTGGCTGGAGATGGCTTACTTCTTACGATCCTTGTCCTTCTTCAGGTTGCTGCCCATAAAGGTCTGGTTCTGGTATATCTCGGAGGTAGCTTTCTTTTTAGAGAAAGAGATTATTTCTTCTTCCAAAAGTCTTCTCTTCTCCTCAAGCTTCATTCTCTCTTCTTGGTGAACTCTTTTGAGGTGCTCGAATTTGGCTTGCAGCTGGGAAACAAGGTGTAGCACTTAGCAGTGACACAGAACGGCTGCGGCTGGGCAGGGGTGTCCTCCCGCTTTGAGCACGCTACTACTTCCCGCTAATGGACACAACATATGCACAAGCCAGCAGCTGCACAGGGCTGTCCACCTACCCAGAACACACTGCTAATTCATGCTAACATACACAGCATCTGCACAAGCTGCCTGGTGGCTCAAGTTTGTTCTTCAGAAAAAATTTAACTATGAATTTGCCTTAGCAACTTTAACTTTAAATAAGTTTAAAAACAAAAAAATGCATGAACAAAAATATGAAAATATGAAAAACCATAGCCTCAGGAACAAACTTGTTTTTAAAATACGACCTTTTCTTGCTCTAGTTTCTCCACAAAGCCTCTTCAATTAGATTTTCTAAAATCCATGCTTAATAAAAGGAACACAAATTACAGAAGCAAGTTATAAAAAAGGAAAAAGAAACCCTTATTTTTAAAATAAAGTTATCATTTGTAGCAAGACAGTTGTTAAAAGTTATACTGAAAAATCTGTTTGGAAAGTTAAATGTCAATTGCCAATTAAAATTAAGAACCTTAAAAATCGATTCTATCTTTCCACAGTCATTGACCTTCTTGAAATTTAATAGCAACTAAATCAAGAAACCCTAAATTCAGAGTTTGATAGCAACTAAATCAAGAAACTCTAAATTCAGAGAAATAATACTGTAGACTGTATCCCATAATAGAAAAACATAGCCTGTGTCTAATAGAAATAAAGTAAAACCATAAATTTATTCTGAATAACTCAATGCAGCCATGAAAACGAGTTTTAAAAACATTTATAATATTATTAACACGAGGTTTCCCTGGGTAGGTGGTGTTAATCTGAAAACAAATCCGGGCACTTCAGTGGATTCCACATGAATCTGCTGTGTGCTGTGTATACAAGCATAGCATTCTAAATCTCAATTAAAAAAAAATACCTTTTCTTTTCTAATCTTCTAACCTGGTGAAACAAATGTTAAATTAGTCTTTTTAGTTTTAGGTAGCAACCTAGCATTCAATGAAAAGTAAAACTTGGCCTCCAAAAAGATGGCATATAATAGCTGAGGAAACAGAAATACTCTACTAGCAACCAGAGGCTGAGGGTAGAAATAGAGACAGCTAAACCCCACCCTAATAAACAGTAAATGTCCCAAATATGGAGCGGTGTGTCCTGAGCCAGGAAACCCATCAGAGACCTGAGACAGAGGCAGGAGAAGCTGAAAAATGTTTTAAAAGGGGGAGTGGGAAAGGTGTGAATGAGACCATTATTCATATTATGTGGCATTCACAGCTTTAATAGCAACAATCTATTCCATGAACATGAAGCACTCACTCACAGTTCCATTAGTCATTGCAGCAGGCATTTACTCAAAGTACTTTCAAATACTAATCAAAAGTTAAAAACCAGTACACTTTTTGTGCTCCTGATAACTACTAACCAATGCTCTTAAGACTACCACCAATATGGTACATTGCTATATCTTTTGTCAATATTCTTTCTAAGAATGTCATACATTCTGATGTTCAATGGTCCTTTTAAAGTTATAAATTCTTAGAAACAAATGCTAAAGACAGCATTCCTCTTTGATTTAACTAGATTATCCTTACTGTGAGTTTTGTGCCTCCCAGTGGCCTTTTTGCCATGACTGCAGGGCGAGCTGCCTGTGCTCACTGAGAAGTCACTTTGGGCCTCAGCTCCTGGCTGCACCTATGGTGAAGCCCTCTTTCCTGCCTGTATTATAAGTCTTCTTCCTACCTCTCATGTTCAGGATTACAATGCAGCTATATTTTTACTGGAAATCATATGGAAGACTTTTGCAAATAAGGCCTAAATTAAATGAAATATTAACAACAGAGTAGAATTATATATAAAATGGGAAAGTAGTAATGATATAATAATGGTTATGTGCTTTGAGGGATAAATAAAAACTATACTTTTTCTTGTGGGGAAAAAGGAATATGAAATCTGCATATAATACATAATATGCCTCATTAGTACATTCAGAATGATGTAATAAAGATGTAAGAAAGATAACATTCAGACAGTATCGTGAGATAACATTTGTTTTGTACATCATCTCCCCACTCCCGTTGTCTAATTTCATGTTCACAACATTTTCAATAAGCTATATAATAAAATCCAGTTTTATACAAAAGATAAATTAAGAGGTAATTATTTTATAACAACATTGGCAAGGATATTTTAAACAACAAGGTCTCCTAATATGGGTTAAGTAATGTTTTGGGTTACCAAAATTAGCTTTTTATTATTGACTGCCAGTATCTTAGTGACATAACTTTGACATAACCAAAAGGTTGGCAGCCAAGTATTGGGATCACATATCCCAGTTTACCCTGAAGAGACTTAGTTTACACCTACCTATTGCCCCAGTGTAATTATTAATAAGCCTCCTTTCCCTCTAAAACCATCGTAATTAAGGCAATAATGTATTCTGTCTTCCTCAGCCCTGGAATAGATGATTCTAGTCTCAAGGAGTGATGATAATTGATTAAATGCCCTTCTTCAGCAGACTGACCGTACTCTATCAAGTATCAACAACAGGGGCATAACAGCATGAAAAGTGGTCATGAGGCAACTTGTAATACTAAAAAACAGGCCAGTAATCTGTCTCTAAAACTATGTAACTAAAAGTTTAGAACTCCTGTGACAACTCCAGGGTGCCTTAGTTTCAAATTAACTTTGTTTTTTTAATATATACTCTTAAGCACTTGAATCATAAAAATAAAACTTTACAAAGCACCTAACAAACAGAATTCCTCGTTTTCTCTCAATCATTTGGTCACCTGAATTTTTAATATCCTTTTAGATACTAAACATTTAAGCAAAATATTCTTATGTGGGATTTTAAAAATTAAAACTTATCTATAAACCACTTTTACAACTTCTCTCCTCACTGGAGAAACTATGAATCATGATATATGAGAAACTCTTGAAAGAATTTTACTCTACTACTATCTTAAAGATGAATCCACTAATTAAAAGGAAAACCAGCATCCTGATTTCCTATTCATTAAAACTCCTTCCTCCTCAATATTTGTATTTTAAAATAGCTACAGAGTAGAGACTTTGTAAAAAGAAATAGAACACCCAAATGCATTGAGACCTGTGATTTAATTCTGGTTCAAAACAAAAACAAAAATCACCAAATAAAAAGAAATAATAATAAACAATCTTGAGACAATTGGGGAAATTTGAATATGGATTAGAGATTAGGAAAGATTATGGCATTCCTATTAATATTCTTACGTGTAAATTGGTACTATGGTTATGAAAAAAAATACACCTACGTAAGCTTCAGAGATGCACGCTGGTGTGCCTAAAGTGCCATGATGTTTCAATCAGTGTTCAGATGATGGGGGGGGAAATACACATGTGTGTACATACACACGTATACCTGCACACACACACACACACACACACCCACACACACGTATACATACACACATGTAAAATAAAAATGGCAAAATGTTCCCTGCTAAATCTAGGTGTGGGAGGGACACGGTGTACTCTACATTCACTTTTCTATTATCTGAACTTTTCAAAAGAAAAATCCAAAATTCAAATTATAAGTAGGATATATTAGTAGATTATTATTTTACAAAACCATTTACTATTTAAATACCAAGTACTGTAAGTGTACTTGACATAATAAATTTGTTAAGTTAATTACAAATAACTCTTCAGGGACTCTTGTGTTATCAAGTTCACTTGTATGAACATTTCTGTCTTCTCCTAGAAATTTATTTTTGCAGCTCACCCTTTTTGAGTCTCATTTGAAAATGCGGCCATTTACTTAAAAGTAGCCATTGCAATTAGGTCTATAGATCTATAGTAAATAGCTTAACAAATAAAATTAAAACTGTTGCTTGAAGAATGAGAAGCAAACAAAACTAAAGGAATTCACCACCGATGTTTAGTTGTGCCAAAGGTCATTTAGACCAAAGGTCATCTAAGCTCTTAAAAAAGGCTTTAGCAGGCCAGAACTACACCATTTCTGGCTCCTGGTTAAGACACTTAAAACACTTCTTAGTAAACTGGTGTATTACAAGTCCTTGGTAAGCCACTTCTAAAGGATGACCATTTTCTCATAATGGCCAAAATTATTTGATTTCAGACTATGATTTTTTAAAAGACTACGTAGGTGTTAAAGAATAACAAGTCTCTAAATGCATCTCAACTAAATTGTTGAGATAAGTCCCCCAAATTAATAGGACACCTAAAAAAATGCAAATCCCAACAAACTAGTGTACTTGCCTCTCTTTCCGCTTCTTTTAGTATGGCTTCTTTCTCCTTCACCCGCTGCACAAACATCTGCTTCATTTCTTCTTCCTTCCTCTGACGTTCCCCATAAATTTGGTGTCTTTTGGCTTCATAGGTCTCTTGAAGACTAAAAAGTTTTTATAGTACTCTCATGTTAAAAATGTGTTGTTAACAAACTTGCAAAAATTCAAATATCTCAGAGGTCTCATAACTATAATAAGTACCAATATCCTCCCACATACAGTAACCCAAAACATGAGATTTCCCATAGCAGGAAACATACAAAGCCACAATGCTACAGCTAATAGAGAGCACTAGATTTGAAAACTGCTTTATCAAATCCTTCACAGTAAGTACTAATATTTTGCCTCAAAGGAATCCCTTTCAATCTTTGTTAATTGGCATTACTATGTCTGGAAACCTCCAAGTCCTGCCGTCATCTTTGATTCTTCCCTTGTTCTTATCTCCATATCTGATCATCAAGGCCTATGACCCTGGAACATCATTTAAAAGCAGTCTTCTTTTGATTTCTACAGCTATCCTGTTACAGGCCAACTTGATCTCTGTGATTTTCTGTCTTCATTACTGCAATAATATCCTAATTGATCTCTGAGCTCCTTTCTTGAACCTTGTTCTTCTAGCCACCCCTAAAATTTTTTTCATCAAATTCACAGAGCTCACTACCCTTTCCTCTGCATTAGAGTTATCTACAGAATAAAGTCTCACCTACTTCAGAGAACACTTAAGGAACTTCACAATGTGACCCAATTCCACCTTTCCAGATTCATTTCTTCCAAACAAACCCAAACTCCCTTAGGTCCCAGCCATTTCATTGTGTTCGTATATGTTCATTTAATGATAGAAATTGTCAGGATGTAGGGCAAATTTAACAGAACAGAGCAAGGACTGTCAAAAAAAAAAAAAAAGTGATAAATTGCCTTGGGTTAGGGTTGCTCAGTGGTTGGAGTGTTGGCCTGTGCACAGAATGTCTCTGGTTCGATTCTCAGTCAAAGCCACAAACCTGGGTTGCAAGTTAGATCCTGGCCCTAGTTGGGGCTCTTGTGGAGGTGGACTATTGTTGTTTCTCTCTCTTTCTCTCTTCTCCTCTCACCTTCCTTTCCACTCTCTCTAAAAAGAAATAGGAGGAAATGTGATAAATTAAGAAATTTTAGGAAAAGAACCCAAGTCAGTACTTCCAGAAGGACCAAGCATGTTTTTGATCCTATTCAGTATAACACTATACTACTGATTTCTTGGGTTTATTTTTTGGGGGTTTGTTTGTTAACTTTTACAAATTGATTTTAGAAAGTGAGGGAGAGAAAATCATTGCACAGCTGGAGGATGCTCCACCATTATGGTTAAAGAAAAGAAAAAAAGGAAATAATTTTTCCAATTTAAAATACTATAACTAGATAAGTAAATATTTTAAGTATAGAATTCTATAAGTTTAAGGAAAAATATAGAAATGTTGCATAGTAGTTACCAAGGTTGCCAGTGAATGTGCAGTATGCATAACAGGCATTCCAAGGAGGACCAGATCTTGAACACTGTCTGAGAGCATGGATAGACCTGAAGAGCACCATGCTCAGTGAAATAAGCCAGTAAGAGAATGACAAATATCATGTGATTTTACTCATATGTGAAATCCAAAGAACAAAATAAACTAAAAAAATAGAACTAGAGTCATAGATATGGAGAAGAGACTGATAGCTGTCAGATGGGAGGGGGAGAAGGGGCTGGGTGAAAAAAGTGAAGGGATTAAGCAAAAACAACAAACATAGACAACACTATGGTGAAGGCCAAGGGAAAGGGAAATGTGAAGAGGAGGGAGAGAATAAAAGGAGGGAGGATAAATAGTAGTGGAAAAAGCCCTGACTTTGGGTAAAAAACACACAATACAATGTACAGATGATGTATAGAACTGTACACTTGAAACCTACATAATTTTATTAACAAATTTTACCCCAATAAAAATTACAGAGTAAAGCTTATAAATGTACAAATGCTCTAAATAACCATGTAAGTGCTTCAAATTCAAAGAGGCATTTTAGTTTTTAACAGTTTTCTTGTTTTTCTGTTTGTTCCGGTCGTATTTTAAAGAAGCTTCTAAATCTATCAGGTTACTTCCACCATTTTCAGAAACCTCACCACATTTTGCTGGTCCTACACTGGGCTGGTAGCCTTTATTTATTTATTTATTTATTTTAAAAGAAAGTTTTATTGTTTTTATTTTTTATTTTATTTTTAAAATATATTTTATTGATTTCAGAAACCTCACCACATTTTGCTGGTCCTACACTGGGCTGGTAGCCTTTATTTATTTATTTATTTATTTATTTTAAAAGAAAGTTTTATTGTTTTTATTTTTTATTTTATTTTTTAAATATATTTTATTGATTTTCCACAGAGAGGAAGGAAGAGGGATAGAGAGCTAGAAACGTCGATGAGAGAGAAACATCGACCAGCTGCCTCCTGCACACCCCCTGCTGGGGATGTGCCCGTAACCCAATGTACATGTCCTTGACAGGAATCGAACCCGGGACCTTTCAGTCCGCAGACCGACGCTCTATCCATTGAGCCAAACCGGTTTCGGCGCCTTTATTTTTTTATTATTAATTTTTTTATAAAGGATAGGTGCTTTTTAAAAAATATATTTTATTGCTTTTTTACAGAGAGGAAGTGAGAGGGATAGAAAGTTAGAAACATTGATGAGAGAGAAACATCGATCAACTGCCTCCTGTACACCCCCCACTGGGTATGTGCCCGCAACCAAGGTACATGCCCTTGACCGAAATAGAACCTGAGACCTTTCAGTCCGCAGGCCAAGGCTCTATCCACTGAGTCAAACCGGTTTCGGCTGGGCTGGTAGCCTTTAATGACAAACTTGGTTTAAATAATGTCTTGAATTCATATCAAATGTAAGTTTTAAAAAATTCTTCTTAATCTACTTATATAAGTACTTGAGTTGCTTAGGAGGAAAAGAAATCTACCCAGCATAAAGACCTAACATCTGTTTAATAGTTGTTAGCAGCAAGGTACTTTCTTGGTTTCCTTTCAGTAATTCCGTGGCAACTAAGGGCAACCGGTAAGAACAAGCATTAATACTCTGCTTTACAGTAAAGAAAACTAAAGCTCAGAGAGAAATCTGCTCAAAGTAACACAGCTGGGATACAAACCAGAGCCAACCTGCTTGAAAGCCATCCTAACCGCCATGACTGACTGCGCTGAAGTCTCAGCCAAAGGTAACAGAGATGGGTGCTCTACGTGTCCACCTTACCACAGCTTTCTCAGGTGGACAATGTACATTATAAAGCTAACTGCAATACAGAAGTCTTTCAAAAGGCGGCAAAGAACCCTTTAGGGCTTAGAGAAAATGGTTTATAAAGTTAGTGTTATAAAACTAATGCAACCATTGTTTACTATCAAACAAAAATAAAAAATAGTTTCTTGCTATACTATTTTTTCTAGTAGTAGCTTATAGTCATGAATGTTTAATGTAACATATTACTACAGTTGCAAATATCAATGATTTAAAGCAAAGTTGAAAACCAAACAGGAAAATTCTCAGATGCTCATGTTCACCAAGAAAACCATTGCAGTCCCTGCACTGTGCTCCATGTTGGTCCTGGTCCTCATAAACCTGATGGGCTTTTCCCATTTCTATTGTCGACTAAATATTTACAAGTTCACTATTTACTTATTGACACTTTAAAAGAGACAAAACTGTATGGCACAAAAGATTATGTCAAACACTTAGGCAAGTCAAAAATACTAGTAAACCTTCCACTCAAACTTTGGGCCTCACACACTTCAAGGACAGTGATTTGTATGCATATGTTAAAGGTGATTAACTGTAGGAGCAAGACTGGTTATGTCCATCTAAAATAACTTGGGGATTTAAATAGGTTTATAAAAGCACTAGAAGACTGGTGCATGAAATTCATGCACGGGGGATGGGGTGGGGTGGAGAGGGAGGAGGGTGTCCCTCAGCTCAACCTGTACCCTTCCAATCTGGGATCCCTCTCACAATCCAGGACTGTTGGCTGCCAACCACTCACCTGCCTGCCTGCCTTATTGTCCCTAACCACTTCTGCCTGCCAGCCTGATCAACCCCTAACCACTCCCATGCCTGCCTGATTGATGCCTAACTGCTCCCCTGCCAACCTGTTTGTCCCTAATTGCCCTCCCCTTCAGGCCTGGTCACTCCTAATTGACCTCCCCTGCAGGCCTGGTCACCCCTCAACTGCTCTCTCCTGCAGGCCTGGTCCTCCCCAACTCCTCTCCCATGCAGGCCTGGGTCACCCCTAACTGTTCTCCCCTGCAGGCTTGATTGCCACCAACTGCCCTCACTGCAGGCCTGGTCCCTCTCAACTGCCCTCCCCTGCTGGCCATCTTGTGGTGGCCATCTTGTGTCCACATGGGGGCAGAATCTCTAACGATATGGGGGCAGCCATCTTGTGTGTTGGAGTGATGGTCAATCTGTATATTACTCTCTTATTAGATAGGATAGAGGCCTAGTGCATGGGTGGGGGCCAGCTGGTTTGCCCTGAAGGGTGTCCCAGATCAGGGTGGAGGTTCCCTTGGGGTGTGGGGAGGCCTGGGTGAGGGGCCTATGGTGGTTTGCAAGCTGGCCACACCCTCTGGCAACCCAAGCAGAGAACCTGGTATCTGGGATTTATGGGATCTTCTAAGCCTCCTGCTTGCTCCACGGATGCAGCCATTTCTGTTGGAATGTTTACCTTCTAAAATTGAAACTTTGTAGCCTTGAGTGGAGGCTTAGGCTGGCAAGGGCAGGTGGAAAGCTTGGCTTCCTGTTGCCAGTGAAACCCAAACCTCCCTCCTGCTCTCTGTGGCTGTAGCCATCTTGGTTGGGTTTATTTGTATTACTCGCTCTGATTGGCTGGTGGGCATGGCTTGTGGGTGTAGCAGAGGTATGGTCAATTTGCATATTACTCTTTTATTAGATGGGATGTTTAGATATCTTTTAAAAAATGGAATGCAGCAGCATAAAAAATTACATTTAATGTTCATCACAAGAAGGTCATCAGATTCTAGAATTCTTATAAGTATATTGCAATATTTAAGACACAGTCTAATTTCTGACTCCCTATAAGTAATTTCATCTTTCTTTATATTTTCCTAAATTTAAGCCATTCTAAAACATTCATCAGGATAAAAACCAACAGTTTTTAAATTTATTTCATATGATTCCCATTTCAAATTTCCTTTAGAATAATAAATAAATATACTTTCATTTTTTTTTTCCAGATAAAAATCAAAACCAAATTAAAGGAGCTTTTCTTTAGTTATTCATTTCAACACATAGTGAAATAATAAGCTTTTGCCATGTGTTCTTCCTTTTATGCGAGAACTTAGAAACCCTTAAAAACAAGAAGGCTTTAAGTGACCTAAAAGCACAATAATTAATCACTATCAAATGGTTCTACTTCATATTGGGACATTTCTGAAAAAGACTTTTTCCATCCTTCTGGATAAATAAAGAAGTATAATCCCCACTTACCTGAGAGGCTTATTCTCTGGGCCCACATCAGAAAAGCCCATTTCCTCCAGTTTGCAACGCCTGTACAGTTCATAGTGCCTCGTATGGGTCTGTTCTCGCAGATCCTCCATGTTTGTACAAATGAGCATTTCCCGAAGCTTTACAAAGTCACAGTGGTTTTCATTTTCCACTAGCCAGAAAAACAAGAAATAGGAACACCAATTTTTAATTACTGACACATAATTAGTATTTGATGAATGAATAATTAAATGAAAATAACTGAAATAACAAACAGGGAAATGATAAGTCTGCTATCTGTATAAATAACCAAAGGAGAAACTCTTGTATAAGACACTGAATTATAGGCAACATTAATCTGATGGCCAGAAAATTTGCTTTAAAGTTAGTAGCCAATGGATAAACAGAAAAGGAAAGAAATGTCCTATATTGTGTTTTCACGTGCTCCAGTTACTTCACTAATACAGTGCTAACACTTTACAAAACATCTTCAGGATACTTCATAGTACTTAAAAAATAATGTAACATCAGCACTAGCTGGTTTGGCTCAGTGAATAGAGTGCAGCCTGTGTCCTGAAGGGTCCTGGGTTCTATTCTGGTCAAGGGCACATGCCTGGGTTGTAGGCTCGATCCTCAGTAAGGGGCATGCATGAGGCAGCCAATCAATGATTCTTTCTTCATCCTTGATGTTTCTATATCTCTCTCCCTCTCCCTTCCTCTCTGAAATCGATTAAAAAATATTTTTAAAAAGAAGTAACATTATTTCACTTCAAATTAGTAAATTCTGTATACTCAAGAATCCCATCTCTGCATACTATCAAATTATTTTGATACAAATACCACATTTACAATCTTGTGTTAGACAGTTAATAAACTTAAATGTTCCCCTATGTTTATAGTGACCAGAAAACTACAAATAAGTATGTTACTGTTTAAGTACAATTGTTTTTTAATATTTTTATACATTAAAAATGTTTAATTTTCAATATTTAAATTCATTATAAAATCTGTCAGTTTAATAAAAAGCATTGGGAAATCAGTTCTAGCAATTAACATTACAAGTAAATGAACCAAATAGTTCTAATTACTTACTCATTATAATGCTAAATAAATCCTAACATATTTTTAGTTGGCTGGCTGGTTTATTTTGGAAACAGTTAGCAATACTTTGTAGTAAAAAATATGTAAATTTGTAAGATAGCTTATTATGACCTAGAATTACCTGGTAATTAGTTTATGTATCATGTTTACACACTGTTATTTACATTCAAATTTTTTTTCAAAGTGCCTGACCAGTGTGTCCCACCTTCTGCATGTCTTGGTGCATCTGAGCAGGTAATGGGGATGTTCTGCCTGGCCTCTACAGACCTGGCTAATAATGAGTCATAACAAAAAATAAGTATCTCTGTATCCAGCCCACATGGCTCAGAGGTTAAGTGTTGATCCATGAACAAGAAAGATAGTTTGATTCCCGGTTAGGGCTCATGCCGAGGCTATGGGCTCGATCCCCAATGTGGTGCATGCAGGAGACAGCTAATGAATGATTCTCTCTCATCATTGATGCTTCTATCTAACTCTCCCTCTCCCTTTCTCTCTGAAATCAATAAAATGTTAAAAAACAAAACAAAACAAAAAAAAATCACTAAAGAATGCATTAAATGCAACTTTGAGACTATTGGGTGACATAAATATTTCTAGTCATCGTTTATCTCATTTACCTTGTACAATACCCCAAGGGTACTGGCGAGCTTTGACCAGCTTATTTCCAACTTTTACCTCATCCATACTTCCTACAACAGCAAATGGCAAATGTCCCTGGAAAAAAGCCACAATATCAATTACATCTCATACCAGTATGATAAATACTAAAACAGTTTTATAAAAATAACAAAATTAGCAAATTTATTAAAATCAAATAATCTATTATGCTTCGGATTTTAAAACTTGACTATATATATATTTAGTGTGCGCATAGATATATACTATTAATATAAAATATTTACATCCCAAATTAATGCTAAATACAGAAAATGTTTCTGAATATTAGAGAAATGAAAGATTACTATGAGCAAGAAGATACAACCCAAACTAAAGATAAATCGATCAGACTGGAAAACTAGCTTAAGTAAGGAGAAAAACAAACTTATTTGAAGAATAGTTTACTGCTTTTTAGAGAGAAAGAAAGGAAAAGGGTGAGAGACAGAAAAAAAAAAAATCCATGTGAGAGTGCAAAATCTATCGGCTGCCTCCTGCAAGCCTCCCTACTGGGTTTTGAGCCTGCAATCCGGGCATGTGCCCTCGACCAGGAATTAAACTGGCAACCTCCTGGTACACGGGATGATGCCTAATCAACTGAGCCACACTGGCCAGGGTGGTAAGGAGAAAATGTTGAGCAAACATACAAAAGGTAGATTTAGAGTCAGTGAGCAGACTGGTCTGTCTAAAGTTAAGGATTAATATAGGGGAAAAGATAGATGTAAAAAATATTAAGTATTATATTTAATATTTAATCATTGACATTAGTCTCTTGTGTCTTTCTGAAAAATTATTCCAGATGGACATAGAAATAAAATTAGATGTAGAGACAATATGACACAGAATTAAGATCACTTACATTTATATGTCATTTAAACTAATCAGGTTTTTATATGTTTGGTTTTAAGTAGAGTAAAATAAATGGGAGTATGAAAAGCCAGAAAAGGGAAAAAAGAGAAATGGAATGAACAGTTATTGAATGTCAAGATGTTGGCAGTGTATAAAAGTTGCATCCTCTCAACAACCCTTAAGATAGGTATTATTAATCCCACTTTAAGATAATAGTCTTAGGAAAGGGGAGGTTAATAACTTCCACAAGAATATATGGCTAAATCTGTCCAACTCCAAAACCCATGATTCTTCAAAATATAAGCCAAATTTTAAAGATTTGGAAGCCTGAAGAAAGTAATATAAATAACTGTCTTCAATTATAGTAAACTAAAGGTTATATGAATGTTATTATGTATTTGTGACACTACAAGAGAGAATGAACTTAAATACCAGATCAGACAGATTCCCTTAAAGATTTTAAGTTTGTGAAGTATCTAAAGGAAGGTGTTTTTAAAGACAAAGTTGAAAGGTATCTTTAAGGCAATTAAGGTATCTTTAAGTAATGTTCCACAAAAGGAGTATCCCAGTCTCACAATGTATCATTTGATTTACATGAAAATGTGGAAGAAAGAAAACATGCTAAAAAATATAGGCTCATTATACTTTTTTCAACTCCAGAAAACAAAACATTTTCCTATACTGTACTTTTTGAAAATTCACCTTTAGAGTCTTTTTGGTAAACATAAGTGGAAATATGTTAGTAGCAATGTTATCTATGTTACTTTTTTTCACATGTAAAACAGCTGTAATATTCAGTTAAGAGCTCACATTCATTGAAGCATTAATTTTAGCAACAGTTTCATCATCTGTAGGAAATTGGTATATCTGGACACCATTGCTGACCAATTCACTCATAAGTTTGATCTTAAACTTCTGTAATTCAGTTTTAGAAATTGCATCTGCTTTGGCAATCACTGGTATAATGTTCACCTATAAAAATAAAGAAAAAAATCATAATTGAAAATTTATCTAAAAATATTTATATTTTATGAATTATTTACAGAGAAAAAGGGAGGATAGAGAGTCAGAAACACTGATCAGCTGCCTCCTGTACAACCCCTACTGGAGATGTGCCCACAGCTAAGGTACATGCCCTTGACTGGAATCAAACCTTGGATCCTTCAGCCATAGGCCAAAGCTCTAGCCACTGACCCAAACAAGTTAGGGCAAAATTTATTTTTTAATCCTTCAGTTTCTGCATTCAAAACCACTAAGTCTTCAAAATAAAAAAAAAATAAAAACTCAAACCTCCCCCCCCCAAAAAAAACCCACTAAGTTTCTGAGAAATTCCCTTAATCTAGATTAGAGGATGGGCAAACTATACTCTAGTTCATTGCCTGTTTATAGAAAGAAAGACTTACTGCCCTGGCTATTATGACTAAATGGCTAGAGAACCAGCCCTCGCACCAAAGGGTCATTGGTTCAATTCCCCATCAAAGGAATGTACCTGAGTATGGGAGACAACCAATGGATGTGTCTCTCTCACATTGATGTTTCTCTTTCTCTCTCCTCCTCCTCCTCCCCACCCCTTCCACACTCAATTTAAAAATTAATAGTCAAAATATCTTTGGGTGAGGAAGGAAGGAAGGAAGGGAGGGAGGGAGGGAGGGAGGGAAGTAAGGAAGAAAAAGGAGGGGAAGGAAGAAAGGAAAGAAAGAAAAGAGGGTTGGAGGGAAGAGGAAGACAAAGAACAGGAGAAAGAGGGGGAGGAAGGAAAGAAGGAAGTAACTCATTGGAATACAACTAGGCCTATTCATTTACTTATTGTTTACAGACACTTACATGCTACAATCAGAGATCATGTGGCCTAAGAAGCCTAGTGTTTACTACCTGGCCCTTCACAGAAAAAGCTTGCCGACCCATGACCTAGATTAGTCTTTCACCTGAATTTCGGTTTAAAAATCTCACATTTTCTTCTCTCAAAATCTCTTACAGTCCTATCATACACAAATAAGTAACATGTATCATTAAGTTGAAACCGCCTGATTACTAATATTTTATTTTTTAATAATCTAAGCACTAAGTAATTAGGATGATTGATCCCATTTGAAATTGTGAAACAGGTTGTTTCTCCTTCTGCCTCTCATTTCAACAGCTCCCTTTTCCCAAAGAATCTATCCAACCTGTGCCTCATCAGCAGTGACTCCTACCTAGATGTTAAGGAAATTTTATGACCAAATAAAAATGTTCGTAACTCAAAGAAATAACTTTCTCAGCATTATCTGAAGTCCTATCACCAGCCACAGAGAAAGGGATCTTGGGTCATGAAGGCCAACAAACTTGTAAAAAGCTAATTCTGTAAGATTAATGTTACAATAAAAGATGGATGTCTATACAAATTTAGGGGTGTATAAGTTTTTTTTATTTTGGTTATTTATTTACATGGTTTGTTTTTAGTGAAAAACTTCAGGCTAACTATATAGTCACATGTGTCAAGAGAGTGAGATATCAATATAATTTCCAAAATGAAAATGAAAAGTAAAAATCATAATTTCTACTTTATTCCTATATTTCTTTCTCGTCTCCAATTTCACAATGATTTATTGGTATGTTTGGATTTATTAGTCTTAAATATGGAAGTGAAAATTTTTCTAACTATCCATGAAATAAATGACAGAAAACTTTCCAACATGTTGGTAAAAATAGCTTTTTATGTTAAATTAGTCAGAGTACAGTACATAAAAAGTTGATGCAAAGTTCAAATCGATGTACTTAAATATTCAATAAATTATGCCAAGTTACTAACTTATATAATTGCATCCACAATAAGTGCAGAAAGCGGGCTGCAGCATAAGTAGTCCAAAGTTAAGCTTTTGACCAATGAAAGTGTCTGAACTTAGGTTTTTCAATTGCCAAGGCATCCATTTCAAAGACATCAAACTTTAATAAATATATTGCTTGGTATATCTAGCAAAACACCAGTAAGGAACCAGGCTGCCAGACCCATACTGTTTCCCTTTTAGATAGCCTGAGCTACTTAAAGAACTGACACACATCTCTAATTCTCACACTTTAATTCCCACTCTTAGGCTTTACGTTCACCAACAAAGAGCAAACCGACAACACCCGAGATACCCCATTCTTGAGCCCTAATAAACACAGAGTTCCAGGTTTGTACTCCCTTCTTTTCTCTCTTCTGATCTCCTATGTGGTCCTTGGGTACCTTCCAGGGATCTGTAACAAATCTTGTTCTTCTAAGTTCCCTGATGGTTTCTTGCCAAATTGGATCCTGAGATCATAATAAGAATCACAAGGACTGGCCCAGCCAGGATACAGACTCTGGTGGTGGTGGTAGCTGGTGGGGGATGTCTGTGGAGCTCATACCATGAATAAATACAGTCGGAGGAGTACCTTCGGCATTTCTAACCACGAGCATCACCATCAATAGGCTTGAGGACACACAGAGACCAAAAGATAAACCTAATTAGTATTTGTACATCAGGGGGAGGGGAAGTAACATGTTTCAGATTGAAGGTAAGATAAGGTAGGTTTCCATGTGAGCAGTGGAGTGTTCTGCTTTTAGGAACAAAAGACAAACTATCAATTTTAATTAATCTTCACATTTGCCCCTTGAGATCACCTCTTTTTAAAACTCCCAGCTTTTATTTTAGAGATGAAGAAATTAAGGCTCAGAGGGCTAAAATAACTTGCCAAAGAACATATAGCTATTAAGTGACAGAGCAGATATTTAAAACCAGCCTTTACTGACACCAAATTCCATGATCTTTACACAAACTACATCATGTTGCTTCTGTCTAGCTAAGATAATGTTGCACACTCTTACTTTTACGTTCCCTTAATAAATATGAACTTCCATATAATCAGACTAAATAATGAAAAATAAGTGACTAAATGGTTACAAAGTCTGGTCAGATAAACAGGCTATCAAATAAGCTTCATCAAATTTTCGCTAAAACCAGGAGCCTTCAACTAGTGAAACGTAGATTATCTATTCACCACTACTTCACTGGTAGGCCTTCATGCTTTCCACTCTTATCTACATAGAAAGTAGTAGTGCCCAGAATGACCTTGCTTTCTGAATACTATCTCATAAAATAACTAGCCAGGATAATGAAAGCTAAATTTCTCATAATATTAGAGATTACAGAAAATTTCTAGTTATTGTTTTAGTATAAGATAGTTGTCTATAACCACCTTTTAAACAATAACAACAAAATCCTAAGTGAGTTAATTTGTGAATATTTTTTATAGATCTCTAAATTTATATATATGTCCTTAGCTCAAAAATTCAAAAATAGTTGTTTTTTTGTATAGTGCACATTAAAACACAATTTACTATAATATATGTTAAAACATTACATCTTAATCTTTGTCAATGAACTTATCATAAAGTAAAATTAGTGTCAAATAAATTCCACATTTAAAAAATATAAATGACCCTTCCACCATGTGAGGCTACACTGAGAAGTCTGCAACCAGAAAGATGACCCTCACACAGCCATGCGGGCACCATGATCTTGAACTTCCAGCCTCCAAAACTGAATTCTACCAGGACCTTGGGTCGTAGGAATTTCACTATACAAGAGAAAAGAACGGTCCTGGATGTATCCTGTCTATCTACACTCTGGCTCTTACAAAGCACCAATGGTACAAAGATTCTAAATAGAAGTTTGTGTTATTAATCAAATGTGAAGAAAGGGATTTTCTGTCATGTGTGCACACCCTATTTTTACTCTACCTCGATTTTTTTTTAACATAAGTTCCTAGAAGTTTTGTCATAAAAAATAAATAATTTTAGCAAGAAAAAAGTTAGTTTTCTTCTTGTGGAAGCTTTTGCAAGCCCAGGAGAGAGGCCTCAGAAGACATGAAACCTACTGACACCTTGATTTCAGCCATCTTCCAAAACTGTGAGAAAATTTCTGTTATTTCAGCCACTCGAAGTGATGTATTTTGTTATAGCAGCTCTAGCAGACAAACTAATAAACTATGTCTTCTATGTAGGGAACTAAATATTATGTGACCACGCAAAAATGTGTGCATTAGCAGCATTATTAGGGTAGCCAAAACCCAAATATCCATCACCAGATAGAGAAAATATGACATATCCATACCACGGAATGTTATTCAGTAATTAATTAAATGGAAAGGACTACTGATAGGAATTTTAAAAGAAAATGAAAATAAATTCTCATATTCTGACATACAATTTAATATGAAAAAAGAACTAAAGTTGCCCTAGCCGGTTTGGCTCAGTGGACAGTGAGTCAGCATATGTCCTGAAGGGTCCAGGTTCGATTCTGGTCAAGGGCACATGCCAGGGTTGTGGGCTCAATCCCCAGTAGGGGCCATGTTTCTACCTCTCTGAATTCAATAAAAATATGTTTTCTAAAAAGTGCTGCTACTAGCATTTAAAAAAGAACTAAAGTTTTATGTTAATGTTATTTCTTTGCGTCTAATCTTCCAAACTAAATTTCTCTGGAAAATAAGCTAAGATCGAAACTTAGCAAACATTTTAAAAATGCAAAGAATGAAAGTTATGCATATATTATCATAAAGGTATTTTAATAAATCAAAATAAATATTACAGCAGGATAAGCTTATTCCTCTTCCAAACCCACCTTGCTGTCAAGGCTCTTCATGGCTAAGAGGTCCAGTGTCTTCAGAGAGTGGCCTGTTGGAGAGATGAAGTAGAGGCATGCATGGACACGAGAATCATGGTAGTTAAAGAGAGAACGCTTGATCTTCAGTTCTTCCTGGAGATAGGCCTCAAACTGAGCATCTATGTAGTCAACTATTGGTTGGTAGCTGGAAAAATAATTATTTAAATATTGAATAAAACATATTCATGTGACCTTAATAAGATATCTATAAAGTTTGAGATATTTTCACCAATTAAACATTCAATATCTATACAAGGTAACTTTAGTATTAAATTGTGCAAAACATGCACGTAAAAAGATAGTGCTTTAAGCCGTTTTACAGAAATGATATTGAATTGCGTTGATTCATTCTCATTCTTTCATACAATGGACCCCTTTCTGACAAGGTTCCCACACTTGCCTGAGTTATTGATATTATCCTTTCACTTGATGTGTGCCTTTCTTCCTTAATATGTTCATGATTTTCATGCCTTACAAATATGATTTAAGAAGAAGTCATGAAATTTTACTTTAGTGTCTATTAAGTTATTGATACTCATGCCTTTTCTCAGTTAAATAATATGCCATTCCATAGTAAATTGTCCTAGGTTTCCATTTCCAGTAAATTGCAGTATCACTTTTCTAATGAAATGAAAGATACTGGCTTAAAATAGAAAAACCACCTCTTAAAAAATCAAAGTACTTATAAAGTGATAAGGAACTAACCATTTTGACTTATTAAAATTGAAAAGAATATACAACCTGGCTGGTGAGGCTCAGAGGGTTGAGCATTGTCCCCTCCCGTGCACTGAGAGGTTGCTATTAGGTCTAGTAATAAGTAATGTCGTTTTCTAATACTTTTTTAAATCGAATTTATTTAAACAATACAACAAAATTTAATCAACAATATAGTTGCCATTGTTTTCTACTACTTGTGCCCAACGCTCAGGAAGCATTTTAATCCCTCTGTTTAAAATTCTTGTGATTTTGATGCAAAAAATTTGGTCAATGCATTTTTGAGGCATTCTTCATTATTAAATTTTTTTCCAAGAAGAAAGTTTTGCAAAGAATGAAACAAATGGTAATCGGAAGGGGCAATATCAGGAGAATATGCAGGTTGAGGGAGAACTTCCCATTCCAACTGGCGCAGTTTTTCAGCAGTGATTCTTGCAGTATGCAGTCGTGCGTTATCGTGGTGAAGAATTACGCCCTTCCGATTAATCAGCGCGGGTTCTTTTTCTCTTAAAGCTTGGGCTAACCTTTCCAATTGGGCACTATACACTGCACTTGTAATGGTTTGGTTCGATGGTAAAAGTTCATAATGAAGAATTCCTTTAAAATTCCACCTAACACACAACATCACTTTTTTCGCATGCAAGTCAGGTTTTGGCGTGGGCTGCTGAGCCTCATTTTTGTCCAACCATTGAGGCCGCCTTTTCAAATTAACAGACAGCACCCATTTTTCATCTCCGGTAACAATTTGCTCTAAAAATGGCAAACGGTTTTGACGAGAGAGGAGCGAAATGCAAATTGTGACTCTTTGATTACGGTTGTTGTCGGTCAACTCATGAGGAACCCATTTTCCAAACTTTTGGACTTTGCCAAGTGCACGCAATTGATTGGAAATTGTTTTTTGTGAACAATTGAAAGTTGTCGCAAGCTCTTGTTGGGTAATTTGAGGATTTTGCACCAAAAGAGCTTGAAGAGCTTCTTGATCAAAATTGGACACACGGCCTCGACCACTCTTGTCATCTAACGAAAAATTTCCCTCGCGAAATTTCTCCAACCAACGCTGGCATTTTCTGGCGCTAACTGCATCTTGACCAAGAGCACTACAGATGTTTTTTGCAGCCTCACTTGCTTTTCTTCCTAATTGGAACTCGTAAAGCATGCAGTGCCGAATATGCTCTTCATTCGCCATCTTCTTAGCCCTAGTTTTGCAACAAAAACCAAACCAAACACAAACTTTTTCAAGCAAAACTTGTTAATTGCACTTCACACGTTCTGTAGATACCACGTGTTTGAAGGTTATGTCAATACAAGTCAACGCCAAGCAAGATTTTAAACGAATATTTAAAAACGACATTAATTATTACTAGACCCAGTCAGGGCACATTCCCAGATTTCGGGTTCAATCCCCAGTAGGGGGCATGCAGGAGACAACCGGTCAATGTTTCTCTCTCAGTCATGTTTCCCTTTCCACTCTCTTTAAAAATTAATGAAAACATTTTTCTTTAATTGAAGAGTATGTGGAAACTGAGAAGTAAGCAGAGGCAAATCCAGCCTGATGTCTGTTTTTATAAGTAAAGTTTTATTGAAATATAGCCACATTCACTTGTTTATGCACTTTGGCTGCTTTTGTGTTATAATGGAAGGGTTGAATAGTATAAGCAGAAACTATATGTCCTTCAAAGCTTGAAATATCTACTATATGGCCCTTTAAAGAAAAAGTTTGGTAATCCCTGCACTGAAGTATCAGTGCTAGTTTTGTCTTAAAGTTATTTGTCAATCTAATTCTTGGGCTTTGCTCTGAAGGACTTATAAGATGAGAAGAAATAATAAAAGTTCAAGACCCATACAATGTGGAAATCTATTGAGACTGCCTCCTCACATAGAGCTGAGATCCTAAAAGCCTAAACCTTCAGGGTAAGAATGAACTAGAATAGATCTACATTTCCTACTCTCTCCCCAAGAATCTATAGAGAAGGCTGCCTGGCATAAAATGAAGTAGGAAAAAGAAAAGGAAAAGAAAAAAAGACCCATCATTGAGACCTTATGGCCCATGGCGGCCCTGGTGGAGCACAGGTGCACACTGCCTCTCTGATTCTGGAAACCTCAAGCTGTGAAACAGGTTTAGGGATCTTCAGAGTATTAATGCCCAGAGGAGTTTAACATAAGCAAACACAAATCTGTTCATAGCAAGATATGTTCACCTTAGATCTCAAAGTATCTCTGCAAATAACTTTTCAAAGGCCATTAACTACAATAAAATAAAAAGCACATGAAAATAAAAAGCACAATGAATGAAAACCAGAGGAAAAAACAAACATCAGTAAAGTAATTGCAAAATTTTAATATACTGGAATTATAAGATTTAATTTTAAGTAGAGATAAAAGAAACAGAAATAAAAGGCAGCTTAAACATATGTGTTTGGAATAGTAAAGTATAACAAGTGATCCTACAGATATGAACCACACAGAGTGTACACACTTGAAAGATTAATAACCAAAATTAAAACGTAATGGATAAGTTTAGTAACAGGGCTGGGAAACTTTTTCTGTTAAGGGCCATTTGGATATTTATGACATCATTCTCGGGCCATACAAAATTATCAACTTAAAAATCAGCCCGGTGCTTCTTTTCAGCCGGAACCGCCATCTTCCAGTAATTCACCAAAATGACTAACACAGAGGGAAGGAGGAAGGCCCCCCCGCTGTATGTTCTCTAGGCCTTTTAGAAAACATGGAGCTGTTCCTTTGGCCACATACATGTGAATCTACAGGAAGGTGATGTTGTGGACATCCAGGGAATGGGCTGTTCACAACGGAAAGCTCCACAAATGTTACCAAGACAGAACTGGAGGAGTCTACAGTGTCACCCGCATGCAGTGGGCATTATTGTGAACAAGCAAGTTAAAGGCAAGATTCTTGACAAGAAAATTAATGTACATATTGAGCATATTAAACACTCTAAGAGCCAAGATAGCTTCCTGAAACGTTTGAAGGAAAATGATCGGAAAAAGAAGCCAAAGAGAAAGGTACCTGGGTTCACCTGAAGCACCAGCCTGCTCCACCCAGAGCAGCACCCTTTGTGAGAGCCAATGGAAAAGAGCCTGAAAAATTAGATTTAGAAAGCTTAGAAACCTGAACTGACTGGAAACAAGTAAGAAATGGCGGGCTTTGAAAATGACTTCAGATTTTCTCACTGGGCAGAATATAGTCAAATACTGCTGCAGTTAAATATTTTACCTTTGCTCTCCCTGTGTGATCTATAATAATAACATGCTTTGTGTTGATATTTACTGCTGTGTTGCTGACAATTACCTGAAAGAGAAGTTGGGGTGCTTCACTGGGCTGAAAAAAGTTTAGCTAAATCAGAAAGCAGGCTAATTAAGCCAGTTTATTTTCTCTCTCTCTCTCTCTCTCTCTCTCTCTCTCTCTCTATATATATATATATATATATATATATATATATATGTGATTGAGTTGACTCATGCACACACGATACATATAAAGCTCTTGCTAAGACCAGATATGTTTCGATCTGTCATTGTTGATCGTGAATTTGGCTGACACTTTTATTATAGAGAAAGGGCAAATAGCGATATTAAAATATTTCATCTAATTAATTTCCTTTCAATGTGTACAAATTTGTGCACTGGGCCACTAGTATAATAATAATGTCTGTGTGGTTAAGAAAAAAAAAAAAAGAGATATAAAACACATGCCATGATAAGTCAGAAGGGTGAGTTAATGGAGTTTAACTGGTCAAAATTCCAATTTATTGTTTACGTGAATCATCAGGAACAGTATAAATATCAATTTATCTTAAACTTTGATTAGGTAGATATTATGTTTATAATTTCTAGAGTAACACCTATAAGAATAGAAAAGCAAGAAAGAATAAAGAAATATAGAACTGGCAGGACAAACAAAAACACAAAATCCCCTACCCGGTCAACTCCTGCAGTCCCTCCCAGCTGGCCAGCCCCAATTGGCCCGATCCGGACTGGGCCAAATGGCCCCAATCAGCCCCAATTGCAGGTCAGGCTGAGGGACCTCACCCATTCATAAATTCATGCACCGGGCCTCTAGTATAAAATAAACTTAATTAGACCTGTTTTCTGATCTAGCTAAACTTTTTTCAGGCCAGTGAAGCACCCCAACTTCTCTTTCAGGTAATTGTCAGCAACACAGCAGTAAATATCAACACAAAGCATATTATTATTATAGATCATACAGGGAGAGCAAAGGGTAAAATATTTAATTGCAGCAGTATTTGACTATATTCTACCCAATGAGAAAACCTGAAGTAATTTTCAAGGTTTTTGTGATCACAAAAGTGGGAAATAAATGAGGAGAGCTCAATGATTTCCTGAGTATTACCTGGAGACAAGTTTCCAGGGCAGAGTACAGAAGAGAGAACAGAGCTCAGCCAAATCTATGACTGGAGAGAGAGATAGGGGAGGCTAACATAACTAGAATTTGTAGCCAAGAACATTAGGAAAAGGAGCTACACCAAGAGGAAGCAATGCAGGTACGCAGTGGGCCTGCCTGGTTTTAGCAAAGCCCTAATCTGTATGTGCACATGCATACAAGAAAAGCACTCAAGACTCTTACCTTCTCCTGTATCTAATCAAAATTGTACATTGAAAAAAATCAGTACATTTTATTTTTTCTATGTAAATTTTACAGCAATAAAACATTTAAAAAGAAAAAAAAGGATTAGAAATATAAATGTCACTGTACTATCACATACATAGAAAATCTAAATATTAGAAGTGAATAATTATTATAATTAATCAGAGAATTTACAAAAGTTTCTATATGTAAAATTGGTATTTCTATAAAATATTTCTATGTAAAATGAAATACTTTTAAAAGATACCGTGTGTGAGGTCATAAAAAATGCCCAAGATCTCTATATAGAGTATTATTTTAAAAATTAATATAATTTAAAGTAGCATGTCACAGGCCTTTGCCTCAGCCACTGATCTGTTTCTTCCAAAAAGCAAAGAAATAATTTTTTTGAAATTTAAAGCAGAACACACAAATGTGCTGAAAAGGCTAATATAAATTACATAGAGTCAATTGTGCAAAATATTTTCTCTCTAAAGCAAACTTTAAGAAATTACCGCTAATAATGAAAATACATACATTTCAAAAAAGAAACAAAAGAACAAAAGTTATTGATTTACCCCAATCTATTTCTCCCTTTCTTAGTTTAAATTTCATATAGAACCTATAATCAATCTTTATAATAACACAAGAGAAATAATGACATAATATAAAAGAGAAATTTCATTATCAAACTTTTCCTGTAATGCATAATAAGGTACTTGGCTAATTTGGTTAGAATTTCACAAAAAAATTCATGCACCATGGATTTGGCCATTTATATTTGCCACTAATAGCCCTGGGCACAAATCTTTGCACCAGTAGCTCACCACCCTCTGCCCCACACTCCTGTATTCCCTCCTACCGTGCCCCCCATAACTTTCTGTCCTGCCCCCTCCTCTAGCTCTCTGCTGCCCACTTGTAGGAGTTCACTGCCATCCTCCTGTAGCTCTCAGCCCTTTGCCATGCCCTCCTGTAGCTCCCTCTGTCCCACTTCCCCTTCCTCTCATAGCTTGCTGTCCTGCCCCCTCCTGTAGCTCTCCACTGCTCTTTGTAGCTTGCTGCCCCACCTTCCTGATCTGTGACCCAGTCCTTATGTGATCGGTCATTACACGGTCATTACGCATTCCGTCATTACGCTTCACGGCGTAATGACCATTTGCAAATTACATCTTTATTATATAGGATTATATGACTTATTGCTTTTCTCCCCCTCACTGAAAATAAGTCTTGCCTGAAAATAAGTACAAGTCACTTCAAATACACTATATTGGCGAATCAGAAAATAAAACTATTTTTGCTGAAAGACATTTTAATAATGTAATTCAAATCATTCTAAAGAAATTAGATAATCAAATATAGAAATGTCAATTATTAGTGAGAATAAAATATTGCTTAAGGTTTTAAAAAATTAAAAGTCTGCGAGGCTAAGATATGGATTTCCACAGTAGAGTGTCAAATCATAGTTCATAGGGCAAGAATGCAAATGTCCTGAATTAAAAAAAATGTGTTTTATTACAAGAAAACATGTACCTCTCTTCTTTGTTTATTTGGTCACCAAATCCCACTGTATTCACAATGGTCAATTTCAATCGAACATTACTTTCTTGAAGTTCATATGTCTGAGCTTTAAGTCTAACATGTGGGCAAAAATGTGAGGATTCCTGGTCTTCAAAATTAGTATTAAACAATGTATCAATCAATGTTGATTTTCCAATTCCAGTCTCCCCTGAAAGAAAAAAAGGTATATCTTCACAGGTGCACAGAATGGATGAGAAAAAACATAGAATTATAAACTCGTAAAGTGGTTTTAAGGATCCCAAATATTTCAAATATTTCAATGGCTTAGTTGTCCACGAAAGAAATATATGCTAAGGATGGTCCACTAAGTCATTAGCAGAACATATAAAAATGAATAAGTAAGATAAGTTACTCAGAATGTTGAAGTACTGAAATGTTTAAAGAACAAACAAAAAAGTTAAAGTAGTACAGCTAAAAAATAAATAAATAAAACTCATAGAATTTAAATAACAGAAAAATATCTCGTGATCATGATCTCAAACTGATAACATGAGCACCATACAGCTTACAATAATTAAATGAGCACTAACCAGTTTGGCTCAGTAGTTAAAGCACTGGCCTGCGGACTGAAGGGTCCCAGGTTTGATTCTGGTCAAGGGCATGTACTTGCTTACGGGCACATCCTCAGTAAGAGGTATGCAGGAGGCTGCTGATCGATGTTTCTCTCTCATCAATGTTTCTAACTCTCTCTCCCTTCCTCTCTGTAAAAAATCAATAAAATGTAAAAGGAAGGAAGGAAGGGAGGGAGGGAGGGAGGGAGGGAGGGAGGGAGGAATAAAGAATTAAGTGAGCACAGGGAATATGAGAACAATTTAGAGGAAGAGTCTGGCACTTACCAACACAGAGAATATTAAAACAGAAGCCTTGCTGAATAGATCTGTTGACCAGCTGATCAGGCAAACTCTCAAAACCAACATGGCCAGACATAGTTAAAGAACGGATATTTTCTCTTTTCTGCCAAAGAAAAACAGCAATGATAAAAATGAAACTTTTACTAAAATAGGATGTAAGCAAATTTGAAATAAAAAAATCAAAGACACTAAAGATTTTATGACCATTATATTTCCTCAAGATACAACTGATTTAAGTAAATTTGTGAGAAATATGTCCAGATCCTTATAACATAGTTCTTCTCTTCATATAATGATTCCATCATTATTTGTAACATTGAAATATTTGATTTCCAAAATAGAAAAATACCCAAGTAAACTATGGCATATTCACTCATAAAACAGTATGTTTATAGTCATTAAAGATGACCATCACATGTTTATATAAGTTATATATTTTTAATAACATTTTAATTATTTTTGCCTTTGATCAGGTTTTTATTCAAAATTAGCTCTTCAAAGTGATTTAACTTTTATGAAACAAATTTAAATTTATGTGCAGGCCTCTTTTCTTCTGTGGTAGGTTTCTTTTCTGTAGGTTTCTTCACAGCTGCCAGTTTCCTGGTAGCTGCAGCCTTATTTCCCACCAAAGGTTTCTTCTGTTTCATAACGGCAAGGCCTTCTTTCCTTCCTTTCCTATACCACAGGCTTCATGCCTGGAACCCCCTTCTCATCTGATTTGGCCTGGAGAAGACTGGTGTTCCGGTGCACCATCTTTGCACATGGGTTTAGCTTTAACATGATTCTCAGATTTGTCAGGGGGTTCTTCTTTAGGACTTTGCGATGAATTTTCTTACATAGTGCTTAGAGTGTTCTTTGGATCTACGGGATTTTCAAGATTCTGCTCAGGTCTGTATTGAGCAATGTGTGCATGGAAGGTTGTAGTTACTCTTGAAGGTGACAGCTTCACACAGTGCCATACAGATTATCTAACGTGCGGAAGGCACTTTCAGTCCAAATGCAGACATAGCTCACATGCTCACCAGGAGCAAGTTTCAAAATATTCTATTTCCTTAAATTAAGCAGAGTAATTCTAGGAAAGTTTCTGAAGGCTTTGATATACTGTTGTCTGCATTATAGATGACGCAAGGTCCCCTGTCCTGGATATGATGATGATTTCCCATTTTGCCCTTGCCAGCTCTCATTAGTTGAGAGGTATAGACCTTTTTAACATCCTCCCAGCCCTTAAGTTCCTTAAAAAATAAATCAGCCTCCTTGGTCTTCTTCTAGCATTCAACTTTATCGTCAAACACCAAAGGAAACTCAGGAACTTCTTCAATATGATGATGTTCAGACATGACTAGCACTGGCAATGCCATGGCATACACACCAGAGCAGATGGCATAGCACTTCTATGTTGTGTTCACTCTATGGTGCTAATGACACCAGGTTTTTTTGTTTTGTTTTGTTTTGTTTTGTTTTTGGTGCAAACATGTGGTGGCCCCATGACACATATTTCTAAAAAGCACTCTGTGTAGAACAAGAAGCCCCAGCACCTCAAACTCTGGGAATTTGAGCCATAGCTCTGCCAGTACCTCAAGACTCCAAACTGGTTTAATGACCTGCCATTTCACTGACCACTGACAGCACAGGACTGTCTACTGTTTTTGCATAAGTTGATGAGAACAAAGTCCACAATATCTGGTCGAAAGGGAGCCTTGAACACAGTACGCAAAGTGACATTTTTGCCAGATAATTTCCCCTTTTTGGAGTATACTAACTGCATGGAGAGCAGAAGGTTACACTACTCTCAACCCAGTGGCTCCCACAGAAAAAGGGACACTTTAATTCTTATGTTAAAAAGTTAAGTGAAAAAAGTACAACACAAAATTATAGCTATAGTTCTAGCACCCAGTAATGGAAGAGTAATTATATCACACTAAGCTCCCAGTTAATAATTATAATCAATTTTTTCAAGGAACTGGAGTGCAATCAAAGGTTGACAGACACTGAAGGGGAGACTCTTGAGAGAAGGAAACTATATAAGGTGAGATGATACTATATTTTTCCCTGAGAGTACTGCCTAGTCATTGCCATCCAAAAATAGAGCTCAACATGCAAATGGCAGTCTTACTGGGTTGACAAGTCAGTTGGAGATAAGGGCATGTGAAAAAAAAATTCCAGAAAAAAGGATGGAGTCCTAAATCAGCAAATACTCTTCCCTCAAATCCTTGGCTGACTGTTGAACAACACATGTATAGGAGAAATACAAAAAGCATAGCAGGGGAGAAATGGGAATGGAGAAAAGCTATGTGAAGTGTTCAAGAGAGCTTGAATTTTAAGTCTATAAATTAAAGGAGCTTGTTAAACACTTTAAGTCTTTTTACTAAAAATCTGTATTAGCCACGTGTTAGGAATAAGAATCATATCCCAGAAGTCAGAAATGCTCACTAGTATAAAGGCACGACTGAAGAAGACCTGCTCTAATAATGCCTAAACAAGGCTCAAGATAATCAATGTGACCAGCTCGTAATTTGCATGCTAGAATAAAGGTCAACACTTTTCAGAAGAAAACAGAGCCCAGCCTCTCCACAATGTATCATTCACAGTATTTCTTTTACAAATAAAAACTATTTACGAAGCAAAAAAAAGTTGATTCATAGTCAAGGGGGGAGGAGGGGGGGGAGAAAGTCAACAGAAAGAGATCCACAAATGAACCAAATATTGAATTACCTAATAAGAACATTAAAATACCTATGATAACCATGCTAAAGGAGAAAAATTTGTTCTTTTCCACAAAAGAGATGGATTATAAGAGATGACATCACATAAAATTATGACATTTGAAAGCTCCCACAAAGAAGGAGCAACAAACAGAATTCAGAGAATGGCAAAAAGCAGCATATGAAATAAAAAGTTATTGAGCTGTATTAACAGCAAAATCAAACTGATAAAATTCTCCCATGGAAGAAATAAAACTATAACAGAGACTCAAAAAACTGGAGCAATATCAAATGATCTAACATATCTATAATTAAAATACCAGATGATAAAGAAGGGGCAGGCAAAGGGAAAAACATCTAAATAAAAAATACCCAAGTAAAGAGTAATTGAAAATTTTCCAATTTTCTAAACATGAACTCGGAGATGCAAGAATTTCAGCAAACTACAAACAGAAATATGTAATGGAACGCACAAATAGGCATATCAGAACTGTTTAAAAATAAGGATAAAGGAAAACTTTATAAGCAAACAGGTGTGGAAAACATATTACAGACAAGTAAAACATAAAATGACCAGTTTTCCCATAAGAAATAATGCAAACCAGAAGACAATAAAACAAAATCAATAAAATGCCAAAAGAAAAAAAAATGACAACCAAAAATTCTATATCCAGTGAAAATATCCTTTACAAATGAAGGCAAAATGAAGACATCTTCAGAATCTAAGAAAATTCTGTGTAAGCAGACCATACATATATGCGATGTTAAAAGTTCAAGAGAAAGAAAAATGAGCCAAAACCAGTTTGGCTCAGTGGATAGAGCATTGGCCTGCAAACTGAAGAGTCCCAGGTTCGATCCGGTCAAGGGCATGTACCTTGGTTGTGGACACATCCCTAGTAGGGGGTGTGCAAGAGGCAGCTGATTGATGTTTTCCTCTCATCAATGTTTCTAAGTCTCTATCCCTCTCACTCTTCCTCTCTGTAAAAAATCAATAAAATATATTTTTAAAGAAAAGAGAAAGGAAAATGACAATGGAAACCCAGATCTGCAAAAAGGAATGAAGACTACAGGAAAGGTAAAAATATGAGTAAATATGAGAGAATTTTTTATTTTTTAAAATTTCTTGAAAATAAAACTGAATGTTTAAAGCAACAATTATTACAGGACTTGTAATATATGAAGAAGCAGAACATATGATAATAACAGCACCAAGGATAGGAAAGGGACTAGATCTGCACATGGATAGGATCTGCACATGTAATGTTTCTGTGCTTAATATCTGCACGTGACTAGTAAATACCTGTTGCATAGCTCAGATATAGAACATTTCCATCTCAGGAAGTCTTGTTATACATGAACTACTAAAGCGCAGTTTGAAGGTAATGTGCGTAAGTTGAAGCCTGCATCAATTACTATTTTTAAAAAATTTAAAAACAGAGGTATAGCTAATAAACCAATAGAGACAAAGCTGAATATAGAGACAAAATCCTATATAATAAAAGGGTAACATGCAAAATCCTAATGACGCAACAACCAGAACAACCACTCAACCAGTCACTATGAGGCATACTGACCCCCTTTATCCAGCTGAAAGGCTCTGATGGCCCATGGGTGGGTGGCAGGGGACATGGGTGGTGCCAGGCCAAGGCCCCAGCACCACCAATCACCCCACACACAGAGGGAAACCAGTGAGCAGGCAGGAATAGCCCACACTTCTTAGTCCTTTCCCCTGGCATCAGGCTCCAATCGCCCAATGGCAAATGGAAAACTGGGGTGGGTGGCAGTGGGGGTTGGGGCTGGTGAACAGATAGAACAGCCAAACTCTCGGTGCCTCCCCCAATCACCCAATGGGAAATAGAGAATTGGGGGTGGGTGGTGGCAGGGGATGGGGCTGACTGAGGGCAGCTGGGGAAGATGGCTCTGATGGCAGGCCCGGCCTAGGGACCGTATGTATGCACAAATTTTGTGTGCCAGGCCTCTAGTGCAATCATAAAAATATTGTTAATCCAAAGGAAGACAGGATAAGAAAAAATATTAAAGAAAAACGTGGAACAAATAGAAAATTAATAGACTTAAGTCCAGCTTTATCTATAATTAAATGTAAATGACATAAACCAGCGCTGTCCAACTCTACTTTCTGTGATGATAGAAATATTCTTTATCTGAGCTGTGCAACAGGTATCCTCTGCTAGTCACATACAGTACTTAAGCACTTAAGATGTAATTAACAGAATCCAAAATGGTGGCCGACAGAATGGCAGTGAGGGAGTGTGAATGAGGGAGCGAAAGGGGAGTGTGTGGGATATGTTTGTGTGACTTAGGGACAGTTATATTCTGCAGGACTTTTGAGGGCTGGCGGATCTCCCCTAGCTGGGCGGCCTCCCTTACAGCTGAAATCTCT